CTCAATGAATGAGGGGGGTTCTAGTGGGAGAAGACCACAGATCAGACTGTAGGAGGTATACACAAACACACAGGAACCACATGCACATCTAGCTCCTTGATATACCTTATACTGCACTAATACTCTAAAACATGCTGTGGTGAATTGCACAGGAGTTGAACCCAGTTGGGCACCATGTGAAGACATAACATTGGTATGTTTTACTATCGGTTGACTAACCTTTCAGGGAAATCTGGCAAGAACATGAAGTGTCTCCCACATCGTTAGTAACCGAGCACCGGTACGTGCCGGCGTCTGCCATCTCACACTTTGAGATGTGAAGAGTGACCGTGTCCTTCTCAACACTGACTTTATGTCTTTGGTCGTTTCTGATCAGCTTCTCATTGAGGAAGCAGTTTATTTCGTATGGAGGGGAACCTGAAACGAGTCCTTCCAAGAAAATGTCGGCTCCCTTTACGAGCTCGGCTGATTCAAAAGACCTCGCAAACTCTGGAGGGTCTACAAGACAAAGATGGTAGATGGTAAGTTGAAAGGCAACAGAGGAATGAACAGTGGGTTCTAGGGTCAGTCTGGTCCACAGAGTTCGTTCAGCCGTTCAGAGACTCCAGGGTAAGCTCCAAAGGCAATGCGTTTTCCAAATAAGAAACACAGAGCTGTCTAAGATCTGATTAGAAACTCTGATGAATGGAGTCTTTGAAAGACAGGAAGCCAGTGTCTGCAGCATTGAACAGAAACATGTGGACCAGACTTCAGGCCTGTATTAAGTCTATCTTTCTAGGGTGAACTCTGAAATCTGAACCAACCTTGGACCGTGACGGAGGTGCTGCACTGGTCGCTGCCGGCCTCACTGGATGCCGTGCACACAAACTCTCCACTATCCTGCACGGAACAGCTGTCCACCTCCAGAGATGCTACAGAGCTCTCGAAGGACATGCTGTGTCTGCGGTCTGCACAGATCTCTGAGCCATGTTTACACCATTTGATGGTAATAACAGGCGTGCCTTGCACTTTGCAGGACAGCTTTAGAGGCTGTCCGGTTTTCAGCAGCTGTGAAGGCTCGAGCTTCATTGTAAATGTTGGGGCTTCTGTAATTGAACAGTAACAGTTACAGTAAGAGGTTAAGTAAAGAAAATCACAGTTCAGTGCAACACTTTAGAGAAGAGAGAAGGAAACAGCACCTGTCACAAAGAGGACTGCGGTGCAATCCACCTTCCCAGCATCGTTGGACACCTGGCAGGTGTATTTAGCCGAGTCACCGGGTTTCACTGACTGAAGCTCCAGAGAGCTGGAAGAGGAGTCTTTCTTTATGAAACACTTCCCCCCAGTGAACACCTCCTTCTCCTCTCTAAACCATTTAACCACCAGAGGAGCGGATCCTGTGAAGGCTGATTTGATCACAACATGTGAGCCCGGTGAGACGTCCTGGGACTCGGGTCTCACCGTGAAGACCGGAGGTTCTGGAGTTATTTGGGAAGAAACAGAGCAAACACAGCCTTTCAATACCTTCTGATGGTTTGTACAGTTGCTGTTTAAGCTGATGTTAAAGGGACTGCTCTAACCTTTGATGGACAGAGTACCGATGGTCTCTTTCTGTCCGGCACCATTAGCCGCCCGGCAGGTATAAACTCCCCCGTCGCTCAGTGTCAGACCCGTTATCGTCACTGAGGCTTTAATCTCAGTGAAGTCAACCTTATATTTGCCATGGCTGTGGATCTCCTTATCATCTTTGAACCAGTTAACAACCATGGGCTGAGATCCAGCCAATCGGCACTCCAAGGTGACATTACTACCAACACTGCCGTCCACCTTCTTCAGAGCCTTGGTGAAGGACGGTGGGACGGCTCGATCTGTGGAAGTATATCAAACAAATGATTGCCTGTCTCTATCCCTTCAGAATCAAACACTATTTGGTTCTCACACTAACCTAGGACAGTGACGGAGCTGCTGCACTCGTCTTTGCCCACTTTGTTGGAGACCTCCATCCTGTACTCTGAAGAGTCTCCCTTATCTGCCGAGAGGATCTTTAGAACGGCGGTGTTTTCCTTGACGCTCATCTTATATTTACGGCCACTGATCACCTCCTTGCCGTCTTTGAACCACTTCACTGTGAGCTCTGGGCTTCCTGTGATGGTGCACTCCAGTGTGGCCGAGTCTCCTGTGCTCACACTGATGGAGGCGGCTCTCTCTAGGATGCTAGCAGGCTCTATAACACAAGACGGTGTATTAATGTCTACATCTGCAGAACACTCCTAAAGAGAGCTGCAGGAATCAGCCCTGAAGTCCCCTGGTCTGGAGGTCGATGGTTTTCTGAATGTGTTTTTGGTTGTTATCCTGAAGTAAGGTCTGTGGTTAACACCAGCTGAAGAGATTTTGACGCTTTGCTCTACCACATAAGCCAACATTAGCCGCCTTTAGCTTAGCGCTGGTGACGTGAAGTCATGTGACCGGTAGTTCCTTTATAGCCTAACGTTAGCTTTTTACTTCAGAAATCATAAAGTAGCGTTAATATGTGGAGATTATCCTTTTGAACTAAACGTGTAAGTATCAGAAACGTTTAGTTTTTTTGAGTTGTTTGAATCCAAAATCACATGGAGAAATCCCATTGGACCAGGAGATGCTGCCTTCAGGGTCCTGCAGCTCTGTATTATTCTGAAATGTCTCTAACCTTGAATTGTTAACACAGCTTCACATTTCTGCTGTCCCGCCTCATTTTCAGCAAGGCAAGTGTACTTGCCGCCATGAATAATGTCGCAGGATGAGAAGGAAATGCAGGCAACGTTGTTCTCAAAAATCATTTTGACGGTTGGATCATCGTCTCTGAGCAGCTCAGAGTCTTTCATCCATTTCACCGTGATGGGTGTGGAGCCTTTGAGGCTCCCCTGCAGCTTCACTGTGTTTCCCAGCACCGCTGTAGCACTCTCAATCCTCTTAGAGAACATGGGAGGCTCTGCAATAACAGGGATGATATTAACAACAGCCCACAGTATCTATAGTAAGAGTCCTTTATTTCTCTACATCACTAACCTCTCTGTTTAGCCAGTGACTTGGCGGTGACGGACCCCACCTCGTTAGAGACCACACACTCATACTCCCCAGCGTCAGCGCTCTCGAAGGAGTGGATCTCTAGAGAGCTCAGGGCTCCCTGAGACAATATGCGGTACTTCTTATCTGTTGACAGGCGCTTCTTATTCTTTTTCCAAGACACTTCGAATGGTGCCGAGCCGGATATCTCACACTCCAGCACCGCTACAGACCCTCGGACGGCCTCTAAGGAAGGGGGCTCCTTCCTGAAAGAGGGCGGCTCTACAGGGGACAGATGGCTAAGTTAGACTAAAGGCACTAAAGGGTCCAGTTCACAAGGTCGTATTGGATGGTCCCAATCAGAGTGATGTGTATACTTGATTACTATTTATTTATGTTTCAAGGTATACAAATGTAAGCGGAACAAGTGAAAACTATATTTACTAAGGGGCATGATAGAAGTAGCAGGGCCCGAACATGGAATTGTCTATCTTTCTGGTCATAGTTTGTCTTACATTTACTTTGCACTTATCTCCTGCCTGCAAAAGCCCCGTCTACTCCAATTGATCTCAACAACATTATAAACGTCACTGTTTTTGTGGGTTTCATTTAGGAAAAGATGAAGCGTTTGTTGTTTTGGCATCAGAGATTGATCCATGAACTCAACCAAAGGCACCGCACCAGATGTGTTTTGAAACAGACTAAATCTGCCTAGCTGTGGTTCTATGTAACTCAGCCTACACACCTTTCACTGTGACCTTAGTGCTGCAGCTCTCACAGCCCGACTCATTGAGCACCTCGCAGGTAAAGTTCCCGCTGTCACCCAACGTGACATCCTTTATCTCAAGAGTGGTGACCCCGTCCTTCAGACTGATCTCGTACCGGCCGCCTGCCGACAGCTGGCTGTTATTAAAGAACCATGAGGTGTGGAGTTCAGGCGACCCTTTGACGGAGCACTGCAGCCGGGCGGTGCTGCCCTGTCTCCAGGCCGAACTCGCCTCCAGCCTCTTTACAAAGACCGGCGGCTCTGCAGAGCAGGTGGTGAGAAAGAACCAGTATGAAGAGGGCATTCAAAATAACAACCAAGAAGAAAGGGAACACATTAAAAAAGAAGAAGACATGACAGAATACATGGTGTTAATTTTCAGTACTACAGATTTGCAATAGCTTCAAATGCTGCAGTTATCATGAAAATTAACTAGACAGCTCTTACCTTGGACTTTCACTGAGGTGGAGCACGAGGCACTCCCTGCTTCATTTGCCACTGTGCACACATAATTCCCACAATCTCTCAGTGTGGTCTTTTGGATATCAAGAGTAACGGTCTTATCCTCAAAGGACAGTTTACAGTCCGGAGACTGGTGCACCTTTCTACCGTCTCTTGACCAGGACACCGTGACCCCGGTGTCCTCATCCACCTGAGCCTCCAGGTGCAGAGGGGCCCCGACCACAGCAGCCATAGGGCCCAGAGGCTGCACAAAGCTGGGCTTATCAACCACCCGCAGCTCCATGCTGCTCTCAGCTGAGCCAACACTGTTGGACAGCTGGCACACATAAAGCCCCCGGTCTGAAGGCTCCAGCCGGGTTATCTCAAGAGTGTGCTTATTCTTTTCACAAGACATTTGGTAGTGTGTCTGCACTTTAGGCAAGGCCTGGCTGTCTTTGAGCCAGACCACATTCAGTGGAGCAGATCCTGTTATCTCACACTGTATCAGAGCCCTCTTTCCAACAAACACTGTCTGAGGGTCAGGTTTAGTTATAAAGGCGGGGGGGCATTGCTCTAAAAGGATTAGGAAAAACAGAAAGACATTAGTCGAAACATGTTATTGCTGGTTCTGGACCAACACCTGCCGGTTGGACAGAAGCTCTCCAGCAGAACAAGAACAGGTTCAACCAACCAAAGTTAGAACCAGAAAAGGATCACAGTATGAAACAAACCCAAAACCAGCGAAGAAGAAGGAAACGTGCTTTGCTCTTACCCGTCACTTTGAGGGAGGCGGAGCATTCGTCAGAGCCATGCTGATTGGTCGCCTTACAGGAGTATTGACCACTGTCCTCTCTGTTGGGGCTCAGCAGCTCCAGAGAGGAGGTCCTGAAGCGACTGATAATCCTGTATTTATCTCCTTCTTTGATGGGCTGACCATCTTTGAACCACTTGAAGCTCACATTCGGAGCGTCTTCAGTTTCACATTCAAACTTGGCAATGTTGCCAGTGTTGATCTCCACAGGGGCGATCCTGTGCCTGAACACAGGCTTCACTGTGAAGGAAAGTAGAAACACAGTTAATACACAGAGCGATGACACATGGAAGATGAATGTTTGTAGTGGTGGTGGGATGGAGTGAACCTGGATGGGAAGTGCAACACATGGTAGTCCTGCTGTGACCGTGGAGGAGAAAATGGTATTAGGGTTGAAGATGTGATGAAACTGTGACAAGAAGAGCAGAGAAAGCATGCAAAGAGGAATGGACCAGGAAGCAGGACTGATGGAAGATTTAAGGTATGGAGCCAAAGGTGATTCCTTAAGAGGATAAAGGAATGGATGTGGGGTGATTTGTGGAGGAATGGACCAAAGTGTCGCTGCTGTTTGTTAAAAACCTTAAAAATCCCAATATAGTTTTACTTAACAAACACCCAAAGAGACCTTTTCAGTTTTTTAAGATTAAGTCGGACACTAGCTAGTAGTTCATTATAAAATGTGGCTGAGGTTTACAGACAGCAGCTTTAGAAACGGTGAGGTTAGTTGATGATTGTAAAGAACGGGCCATCATCAAACCTCTGGAGACCACAGTGAGTCGTGAAGACGTTGTCGTCCTGCCGGCCTCGTTCTCAGCCTCACAGACAAACTCCCCCTGATGTCTCTCCTTCACCACTTTGTGGATAACTAGTGTGTATGTGTCTTGGTCTGCAGAACACTTGAACTCTTTTCCAGATTTCAGCATTTCACCGTTAAAAAGCCAGTTCACTTCGGTGACATATTTTATGGTGGCAGTAAAAACTGCCTTACCGTTTTCCTCCACCCAAACATCTTCCAGAGAGCTAACGACAACGGGATAATGAGCCAGACTGTCAGAGGACTCGCTGATCATGACGGCCTCTGAGAGATACTCCTCTCTGGTTTCTCTGTGGACACTAACATCCACAAGATGTTCAGTAGGGATCTGACCCACGGGCCCGCTTCTGGTCGCCTCAGCGGCGCCGGCAGTCCTCTCTGAACGGACCGTCTTTCTGCTCACCTGCCGCGACTCGTGAACCTCAGTCCGGCTCTGAACCGTCGCACTTTGGAAGGAAGCACTGGCTTCTCTTTTGACGGCTGCGGACTGAGACACATTGGGAGGAAACCCAACGGCGCTCTCTGCCAACACTTTGGTGTCCACCACAGACGATAAGACCTCTCTGGAGGACGCTGAGCTGAGCAGCACTTTCTGAGGCTTGTCGATTTGCATGGTGCCCGGCTGCTCTGCGCTGAGACTCTGCTGCTCCTGGAAGACCAGAGCATGCAGAGCGACCTGCAGTTCAGACCTGAGGTCAGCCGTCTGAGGGTATTGCCCTTCAAAAGACACAGTGATCTCCATCGGGACACCTGGAGAAGTGATCAGATATGTAGAAGAGGCCTGTTTGGGCTCTCTCTGAACCTTCACCTCCTGCACCTGCACCGCCTCTAACCGGCCCACGACGTCGGCCAGAAGCACCGGCTGATCGCTGGCCACGGCCGACTGCAGAGCGTCTCTGAGCTGACGTCGTATATTCAGACTGGACGCTTTGGGGATCTGAATGATGAAGTTGAGCTCTTTGGGGAGAGTCAGAGCGTCCTGACACTCGTGGACAAACAGAGGTCCTTCAGGCTGGGTCAGGACGCTGAGGATCGAGGCTTCAGATTTATGAATCTCACTGGACTGCTCTCCCATAATGACCTGTTTCTCTTCTAACAGCACAGACTGTCGCACTGACTGTCCTTCTTGGATCTGGACTGCAAAGTCCTGCTCCGCTGCCTCTAAGATAGTACAGCTTTCAGTAGCAACTGCCTTCTCCTCTATAAAGATAGTTTTCTTTGGGATTTTAGGTTCAACCTTCATTGCAGGCTTGCATTTCTCATCAGCTTGAATGTTGTCGGTGTGACCCTCTTCAAGGCTGTGAGTGTCTGTTACATTCAGAGACTGCTTGATGTTCCAGCAGTCCTCTTTCTGAACCAGCGCTCGCTGTTGCTGAACGTCAGTAATGATTGGCGTCTCCTTGGGTAGCGCCACCTGCTGGCAGGAGACCATGAGGATGTTTAGAGGCCGGGGCTCGGTCCGAAGCTGGGTCTGAACCCCGGTCACCGACACATCCAGATCTGAGTGATAATCTGCTGTGATCTCCCGCCTCTCCTCTGAGCTAGCTGCATGCTTCCTAGCCTTTTCCTGTTTCTGTGCTGCCACCTGCTGGTCAGGTTTGGAGACAGTAATTATCCCTTCCTTTGGCAGAACTGATAGAGAGTGAACTGATTGGAGGTATTTAGTTGGCGGTGACTCTTTCTTCGGCTGAACAGACACCGCGGCAGTCTTTGCTGAGAACTCTGAGCTTGCCTCACAAACCGCTGTTCTGTGGTCTTCTTCAGTCACTGAATGCAACACAGTGGGACTCTTCCTGGCCTCAGCCTGCTCTGTGGGAGGCCTCTCACTGCTGAACCTGCCCTCAGACTGCAGGACATCCTGGTCACTGATCACCTGCAGGTTCAGGAGTCTTTCTCCCTCCTGCTGAGGCTGCAGACTCACAGACGAGTCTAAACCTGGAAGCCACCCTGCCTGCTCCCCCTGCAGCTGGTACTTCTCTTCAGCAGAAACAGCTGATTTATAGAGAAAGTCTTTGTGGGGGGTGATGCTCTCCTGATCTGGTCTGTGGATTTTAAACTCCTGCTCTTTGGATAAAGCCAGCCGGGTCTCACTCATTGGTGCTACAACTGGTTTAGATTGTTCTTTCTCAATCAGAGGCTGAGAGGCTGCATCTAAAGCTGGCAGCGGCTCTGAGTGTCTCTCAGTGACGAGCAGCTGCCCTGCAGACTGAGCCGAGTATAAGATCTTAACCCCTTCTGTGACCCTGAAGCTCCTCTCCTCCTCCGGTCTTAGGGTCACGCCCGAGGTTTCATCAAGGATCGGCAGATGGGTGTCCACTTGGTGACCGCTAACGAGCTGCCGGGCTTCAATACAAGCGCTGACCTGCTCTGGGACCCGGTCTGTCAAGGCCTCGGCTCTCACAGAGCTGAGAGGCAGGACCTGTTGGGACGTGGCCGACATCAGCTTTGTCAGCCTCTCTTTGGCCGGCTGGAGCTCTACGATCTCTGGGCTGAGGATCCGCTCGGAGTGCTGCTCGGTGATCTTCTGCCTCTCCTGGACCGAGGATAGGAAAGTGGCCATGTGAAGCTGTTTCACGGGAACAGCTGAGACCTGAGGGGGGTGGGTTGGCGCCACAGAAACCCTCTCCTGTATGTGGTGCGCCTGCAGCACCGCGGCCTGCTGGGTAATCTGCTCACGGTGCAGGGTGGCGGCGGAGATATCCAGCTCTCTGAGGGTGCCCACCTCCTCACTAGGGATAATCTGCCTGTCCTCAGTACTGATGGTGTAAATCATCTGGTCTGACAGAGTCCTTTTCTGGTATAATCTGGACTCTGTGGTTTGTTCGGTCATGGATATTTTCAAACCTTTAGTTTTCTGAGCTGTGGACACCAGCAGCTCTGCAGAACAGGAGGCCTCCCCGTGGTGGTTGGAGGCCTTGCAGGTGTACACGCCGCTGTGCTCTAGTTTGACTCCTTTGATGTTAATAAAGCCCGATCCATCTGGGTTGTTCACAACGATACAGAACCCACCGGGCTGAATGTGCAAGCTGCCTTTAAACCACTGAACGCTGGGGAAAGGGTCTCCGGTCACAACGTACCTAAAGAACGCCTGACCGCCCTCCGACAGCTGCTGGGACTCGATGGCTTTAGTGAACTCTGGGGGGTTCCCTGCTGCTACAAACCTCTTCCTGTCTACGCTCTCCTGCTTTTCTGGCTCCTTCACCTCAACATGCAGGTAAGAAGTGCAGGTGGACTGGCCAAATCTGTTGCTGACGGTGCAGACGTACTCACCCTCAAACTCCCTCTGAACCCTGTTAATCACTAAGCTGTACTCGTCTCGCTCATGGACCAACGTGTACACGGGGGAGCTCGTTATGGTCTGCCCCTTGTGGAGCCACTGCACTACGGGCTTAGGGAAACCGGACACCGTGACGGTAAACCTAGCAGTTTCTCCGATAGTCACAGTGGCTGGAGAGAGCTTGCTGAGGAAAACTGGTTTCTCTTTTTTCTTCTCCAAAGAACTGGAGAAACGTTTGGAATCTGGTTTGAGTTCAAGTGTTCTGGTTTTATCTGGGAGCTTTAGGCCGGTGTAGTACGAGTCCCGGGTTTCCTCTTCCACTACGAGGGTAGAGCTAGAGAAGGCTTGGGATAATGACAATCAAAAGTTAAGTCAGACATGCAATAACAGTATCATCTATCACACGTAAACTTTAACAGAGAGACAACTCTGTCCTCCGGTGGAGACAGAGTCATGCAGTTAGCTTGATATACAATCTGCAGGTGGATCCTGAGTTAAAGAGGCCCTGTTCTTCTTCTGTGGTGTTCGATCTCCTGTAGTTATATAGGTGTTAGTGCATGTAAATGGTCTGCAAAGGCTAAAATCCATGTGTTTCCTCCAGACGGAGTTTCTCTCCCACACACTTTTGTGTTTTGGTAAAATAGTTTGCACAAGTGTAAAAAAAACTCAAATACGTTGTAAATTGAAATACTTGTAAAACATTTTGAAACATCAAATGTACTTGAATACACGGCAACCTGAAAAAAAAAAGTTAAAGAGGCCTTATTATTCTTCTGTGGTGTTCCCTCTCCTGTAGTCTGTTCTATAGATGTTAGCGCATGTAAATGGTCTGAAAAGGCTAAAATCCCTGTCCCTGTTTTGGAAGTATGGTCAAATACTCGAAAAACATTTTGAAACATAAAATCGACTTAATTACCCTGCAACCTGCAAAGAAACAGTCATAACAAAGTAAATCCTCCTTAGTTGAGACGTTAGAAACAGTTTACGACGCGGACGATATTTACCTTTCAAATCGTCGCAGACCTGAGCTCCAGGTTTCTGCTCCTCTGCAGTGACTGTAGAGACACAAACGGTCACAAATTAAAATCACTCTCCAAACTGGACACAACGTCTTATATGGTGCAAGACTGCTAGAATCAGTGACAGCTCGTGCATCCATACATTCCCTTCATTTGACTAAAGTTCTTGCATGCTTCCCCTGGATCCTAAGTGTGCAGCAGCACCTCAGTGGTATGAGTGTCCCTGGCTCTTAGTAAAGCGGGACCCAAAGAGCCTCCGGGCCCCGAGTGAAGCAGTGAGTCTCTGCTGGCTGTGTGGGAGAGCAGTGTGAAGGGCCAGAGAGAGGCCGAGAGAGCAGAAGGACCAAAAGCATGCAGATGCCAACCTTTCGTCACTTTGCTGCCGGACTGTTTGAAAGTGGGTCCCACAGTTTTAACATTCACTCGGCACAGGGGGCCGTCGTGTTTCACAGAGAAAGACACAGAGTCCTCAACACTCAACCGCTTGTAAAGCCAAATGACAAACGGTGTGGGGAGCCCCATCGTAACGCAACACAGGGGGGCGCTGTGGGGGTTCCTGAGCAGCTCCGGGGGGAGTTTGATGAGGAAGTCGGGGGAGCCTCGCTTGTCCTGAGGGAGGATGTCCGGGAAGTGCATCTGTTTGATGAGGCTGTAGGGAGGAAACTCCCCCGGACTCTCCGCCTCCTCCGGCTTATCGGGCTCAGGGAGGTCTCGAGACCCCCTGTCTGTTTGAGACACTTTACGCACAGAATCGATAGGGATTGGGGTTTCTGCTTTGAGATTTGCTTCTTTCGCTGGGTGAGATAAAGTTAGGGAGAGTCATTAGAGAGGATAACTCATTAACACTAAAGGGGTTAGTAGGATGGATGGGGGGAGGGGGGTTAGGGAGCGGAGCTGGAACAGCGGGTTATTCTACATCCTGCCGGTTACAGGTAGGGATGCCCCGACCCAGCGGGAAGTAGTCAGGAAACAAACATAATATATAAAAGAACCAATCAGGCTGACAGCCGTACTCTGATACTCAGAGTGAACAATAACACTAATGCTAACAGAGGTTGCATTGTGATGTTTTCTGTGTTCAGAACAAATTAGTAGAATATAATGTTATTATGATGTGTTAAAATGTTATCCTGTAAAATGTAGGTTTTGTTAAACAAATTCAGATATTAGAGGGAAATATGACGTGTTAAACTTCCAAACATTAGCAGCTTATATACGCTAATATATATATATATATATATATATTACGTCTTTATAGCTACTAATGCATATATTAAGAAAAATGCATTCATTATTTATTTCCTTATCATTTCAATTGTTTGCTTCTATGCAAAATAACCAATATAGATGTCAACAGAAAACTAAAGGATAACCTTTAGACTTTGGGATGGTTACATATATAATGTAACATCATATATATGTCTTCCACCTGCTATCAGAAAACAAAGAACACTTGTTTGGGTGGATAAGGCTCGATCGGGGCATCTCTATCTACAGGCTGAGAGGAAATGAAGAGGCGGGGAGGCGCAGAAGATGGAGCAGGGGGGGGTTGGATGGACCAGATGATAAAAAAGAAAGAGTAAGCACCTTCCACGGTGAGCTGCGCGGAGCAGCTGTTCTGTCCGTGCTGGTTGGCGGTGGTGCAGCAGTACAAACCCTGATCCAACACGCCAACGCTCTGGATGACCAGGGACAACAGCCTGCCGCTCTGAGAGCTCCTCACCCGCTCACAGTCCACCACACTGTGGCCGTTATGATCCCACACCACCCCGGTGAAGGGCTGCCCCTCCACCAGGCAGCTGAACTCGGCCATCTCGCCGCTTTGCACCTGGACGTCGCTCATTTCCACCAGCAGCCGGGGGCGGGATGAGGTCTGAAAGCTGCTCTCAGAGCTCATCTCCACCGAGCTCTGTGTCTCAACCGTCCTCCAGGACAGGGACGAGCTCTCAGACAGCATCTCAGTAAAAACACTCTGACTGACACTTCCGCCGATCATCACACTAGCTAAGGCTGTCCCATCTGGGCAGTAAAGAGAGTAAAGAGTTAGGTCAACACAGCATCATTCTTCCTCAGGTGTTCCAGGAGCTGGAGGAGCGCTGAGGTCAGTCAGGATCAGTGGGGGGGGGGGGGGGGGGGTGACAGACTGCGGCTGCTTTCCACCGTCAATCATGCAAGCTTGACTGGAGCCAAGTCAAAACCAAATAAAAGCTAAGGACTAAGTCCGTGCTCGAGCATGAGGAACCCGGAAAGCTTTTCCAGAGTTCAGCTCTGATGGAGCATGCTGCATTCCTCTGAAATAAAGAGTCGTGATATTTGGTGAAGGAAGAGAGACGCTCATGCATCACGCGAGAGAAGAACCCTGGAAGATCACCTGTGCTCAGTGAGAGGTCAGAAACAGAAGCTGATAAAGATATCTGTCGGCATGCTATCAGAAACTACAGTTAGCTGAACTGTACCAGCAACAAAAGAAACATAAAACACACTTCCTGAAGGCTGCTTGCACAAAGATGTTGTTGTCTGTAAAGATAGAGACAAACTCATTTGTTGATGTTAAGGATTAACTCTCCAGTCCCAAAATAAGAGAGTTTGGAGTTCCCCAGGGAAGCGTCCTGGGGCCTCTTCTATTCCTAATGATTTCATATCAAGTGATGTATGTCTCTATGCAGATGATGTAGCTTGCTCTTGTAGTTTAATAGATGCAAACCCTAAACACAGAGCTTATAATGGTTGATAATTAGGTGAAGTTATAATAATTTCTCCATCTATCTTTTCTGTCAGAACTGAGCCTGTTTTATTTGGGTCTAGATGTTATTTAAAGAGATCTTTGACAATTTCTGGTGCCGATATCCTGATGTCTTTGTGCGACCAGCCGCAGGAGAGCGAACACACTGATGAACCATGCAGCCTTTTATTGGCTCAATAAAGGGCTTTTATTTGTTCCAAGCATGCTTCTTTATATATTTGAAGCATGAAGTGGTTGTTAAGGACATAATATAAATCTAAATATGATATAACACTTTCATTGTTAGTTCTAGACACCTACAATCCTCCGTTAGCCAACCGATCATTTCAGATTCAGTTTCTAAATGAAAGAAAGAGCTTGAGAGGACTTTTTGTCAGGGCTATACTTGCAAAAATGCAAAAGAATAAAAAAAGATGTGGAAATATCAACGTCTAAAGAGACCTGTTTGCAGATTAGAGGGACTCGCTTTGGATGAATGTATCTTCAGCAGGCTGTAAAATGGAGCTGATTCCAACATATAAGACCAAGAGAAGACATGTTGAGCTGAAGACCAGCATGGTGGTTAAACATGCAGCAGAGTGTTTGACTCATGCAGGGTGAGACAGTTAGATCTGGAGCCTGGATCACTCACCGTCGATATTCAGAGTCGCAGCACAGGTGACCCTTCCTGCTGCGTTTGAGGCCATACATGAGTACTCTCCCTCGTGCTTGGAGAGGGTTTTAGAAATGTCCAACTGGTAGGTTTCACCAGAACGAGACATCCTGAAGATGTCTGAGTCCCTGACCTCTCTGTCGCCACAGAACCAGGAAACCTGCAGATCTGCAGACACATCGTCACTCAGCAGCGTAACACCACTTATGATCAGAGGATGCAGACATAATGTTCTGACAGCATCTCTTCTTTAAACCAGGCGTGTTCCCTACCTTCCCCAGAGACGGTGCACTGGAACTGGGCCGGGAACCCCTCTGCGACCAGGAGGTCCCTCATGGGGGCTTTGAGCACCGGGGCAGAAACCCTGGATTCAGTCTCGTGAACTGAAGACAAACACATGAGCAGTGGTTATCAAGCAGGTTGTTTGTCACGTTTAAATATTTAACAAGACTTGGTCAAAACGTTCTCACAATTAGCTGTGTTTTCAGTATTGGATGATATATGCTATATACACATATATATTATGATTCTGATTCTGATGTAGAGCGTACCTTCGACGGTGAGGGTGGCGGAGCTCATGGCCTCTCCGAAGTCGTTCCTGGCGGCACAGCTGTAGACGGCGGCGTCCTCGGTGAAGACGTCCAGCAGCATCAGTGTGTGCTCGTTCTCGTCATGGAGGATCTTGCACTTTGAGTCTGTGATCACCTTCTGAGAGTCTTTGTACCAGGAGACCGTGGGCATCGGCAGGCCGCTCACCTGCACCGTGAAGCGTACGGAGCGCCCGGAGGAAACGGTCTGAGGCTGCATCTGCCGCTCGATCTGAGGAGGCTCCGGTACTGAAGCACACGCAGAAACCTCAGAATATAGGACAACAGATGTATAGCATTGAAAACATGGAGGTGGAGATCACTCACGCCTGACATGGAGGTTCATGGTGGTCCGGTTCTTCCCGGCGATGAAGGTGTATTCTCCGGCGTCGCTCCTGAAGGTCTCCGTCACGGTGAGGCGGTGAACCCTCCGGATGCAGGCGTAGTTGAAGCGCTGCTCCACAGAGAACTGGATCTCCACTCCGTTCCTCAGCCAGCGGCCCTCCACCTCGTCCTCGTTCACCTCCAGCTCAAAGGTGGCGCGCTGCTTCTCCAGAACCTGCAGGCGGGAATCAGTTTGGATTTATGTATTATTTACTGTTTCTTGTTTCAGATCCAAGTAACGCCATGTTGTTCTTTATTCCTCCAACTTCTTCCCAGGAGCATTCTTCTACTTTAAGATGCTCCATGATTCCTTTCACATTATGATTCGTTTATTCTCAGAGAATTTCCCGGTTGTTCATTTTGTTATATTCGCTTATTTTTTATTCTACTTAATTACTGCTAAAATCTCAAAGAAATGCTCAAAATATTCCAGTGAATTGGATTTCATATCAGAGAATAATCACATTCTTTTCTCAGAACTTGATGAACAGAATAGATTTTCTCGTGAATTTAGCACTTTATTCTCAGAAAATCCCTGATTTGACTCCTAAATCTCCTAAAGTCCTAAACCACTGTAATCTTGTAAATGGTCAGAATGATTATCTGTCCTATCTCTGAGACCCCCTCTCTGTTCCTGAGAGTTTCCTCTTTCTCTTAGTTAATAGATGTAATCATGAGTGAGTGCCCCCCCTCACCGTGATGTCCCTCTCGGGGGGGTCAGAGATTCGGACGTCTCTCCCCTCCACCACCAGCTGGGCTCTGGAGACGCTCGACCCGGCCACCACAGAGAACTCTCCGGCGTCCGACATCCTGACCGACTGGATCATCAGCCGGTGGACAAACTTCTCCGCTGTCACCGAGAACCTGAACGCACCACGGAGACTCGGGTTAACAACACGCTCTGAGTCAGAGGTTAGGATGTATTAACTCTCTCTCTCACCTGTCCTCCTGCTCCAGCTCCTGGCCGTTCTTCATCCAGACCACCTGCACGTTGGGCTCGGAGATCTCACACTCGAACACGGCCTTCTTCTTCTCCGTGACCTTTATGTCTTTGATCTTCTTGGTGAACTCAATCACTCGAGCTGAGACACAGGAGGGTTCACGATTACTTCAATGCTATTATTATTATTATGATGAGGTTTTATCTGTTATTTTATTTATTTATCTAAATATTCTATGTTTGAACATTCTGGTCCCACCCTTAAATTCTCATCACCTACACATCCCATCATTAAACTGTGAAACCCCCCAGTCCCTAACCATCTGCAGATCCACCTTCACCGTCCTGAAACGTACACCCTGAACACATGTCTCTGTTGAACACATCCCTGGGCTCACCTTCCACGTTACACTTTTTAACTAAATAACGACTTCAATCTCAGTGTTTTTGGTGTTTGTGTCTCAGAGCCCTCCCTCTGACTCAGGCTGTCAGAGGGAGGGCTCAGGCTGTCAGAGGGAGGACTCAGGCTGTCAGAGGTCTCTTTGCTCTCCACTTAAATAACTTCTTTGATCACTCTATACCCCCTCTCTATAACCCCACTATATACCCCCTCTCTATACCCCCACTCTATACCCCCACTCTATACGCCCCTCTCTATACCCCCCTCTCTATACCCCC